CAGTCACTGCCACAGCCCTCACTATAACGTCCACTGTCTTTATTTTAACAGTGCTTATCTGTACTTCTTCCTCGGCCTGTTATTTTTTCCTGTCACATCTCCCTTCTCTCTGCATTTTATTTACTGCCTCCTGTGGCTTTCTGTCCAGCTCTGTTGCATCCCCTTATTACTCCCCTGTGCTGCCTGTTCTCCCACAGCACACTTCACCTGGAGATCGCATGCCACTCCCCCCACCCCCCCACCCGCAGCTGAACCTCCACTGCATGAGCCAGCCGCCCCCTTGACCAGGCTAAAGACGGCAGTGGAACCTGGCAGTGACTCTGAATCCTACGCCAGCCAGAGCAACCAGAACAACAAGACCAGACTTTAAGGGACTGACCCTGTATTACATATAATAAGGCTTTCAAGTTTATATGAACTCTCATTCTCAGTTCTGGAAGATGGATAACAAGAGCAGGTGTAGAGAGTTATTGACAAAAACCAGGTCCATATTTATACATTAAATACCGTAGAATAATGCACTAATACAATAGCCACCATCTGTTACTCCTGTCTTTGACACATTCATTTTAATGCTTATGAAAGCAGGAAATGCTCCTGAGTGTTTAACAAAACCATAAGAAGAAATACCAATTCAATATCAAATTCTAAACAATCTACAAGGCAGTCTACACACACACACATTTCATTATCAAGTATTTACTTACGCATGTATCCTTATGTATATGCAAATTACATTCCAAATATTCCTCAGTGTACCTTTGGCAAGGCATTGTGGGGACACGTAATTAGCACCACAGCTACAGCTGGCAGAAATGCTCAGGAATTCAAGTTGAATTGGCTTGTTCATCTCCTTGCAAACACTTTGTTTGCGTTTCATCTACTGTGTGTCCGTCTTATATCTAGATACCTTCACACCATCATTTCTCTACTTGCCACTGTCTCCCTTAAACATCCTATGATCTAGTTTTTCTCAAAATCTTAACAGGAAAAGGAATGAAAATGTGTGAAATTGATTTAATTAAAAGAAAATCTGTAGATTCTACTACTTAAAATAGTTACATGGTTTTTACTCATATATCAAGATCTTAAGATTATGTTAATCTTCTGTGTATGCATGTGAAACATTTGCGTAAGAGATATGTCAAATGTAAGAATAACTATAGAAATAAAGTGTCTTTAAAAAAAATGTATGCTGCATTTCATTGCTATAGTGCTGAATATCTTATAGCAAAATACTGATCAAGGAATTAAATGTGTGATGTGGAATCTGTACATGTATTATAAACGAAAATCAAACGCTGGTGAATTTCCAGTTATTCCTAAAGATTTAATGCATAATACAATGTAAAGATACCAATAATCGTACAGAGCTGCATTGAATTGATTCTCGTTTAATTTCATACCACTTAAAACCACAAGGTGGCAGTCCACTTTAACTTTAACTCCACTTTTTTGGTATCTAAATAGCTCACTTCAATTCTTTAAAACTTTTCTTTCGTGCCTGGGGTAGTAGGGGTAACGAACCATACAGAATAGTCTCAAGACTCGGAGAGAATAGACTCAATAAAATATCGCTGTTTTTATTACAGCATGGCTAATAATCTAGCAAAACAATTTCAGTCGTTTTATTGTCATGAGCATAGTACACTGCTTTTTTTTCCAGAGTGTTTTCTTTCATGCTATAATGCTAATAAATACCAGAAAATAACAACAATAAATAAGTTAATATCACAATTCTAGACAGGAATTTAGCATATAAATGTACAAAAGACATATACAGGTTGATTCTGGGACTAAAGCGTTAGAGTACATCGAAAGGGGCAGCGTGTGGCTCAGTAGGCTAAGCCTCTGTGTCTGTGATCAGAAGGCGAATATATAAAAAATATCAGTGTTTAGTGCTCAGGAGCCCAATTGTCTGCCTAGGAACAGCCCGGAATCTGGCAGGGGGGACCCTTATTGCCCTGTACCATCTTTCAGAAGAAAGGAGGGAGAAAAGTGACTGTACAGGATGACAGGTGTCCAGCTTATTATTTCCGCACACAACCGGTAGGATGTTGGTGCTTGACTTCTGAAACAGGCTACCTCACTCCCCTCACCCAGCATCAAGGTAATCAACACAACCATCCCCCCACCTAAATCTTCAGAAGTCACCGCTCAGCCCCTCCCCCTTCAGCCTCTCCATAACGGCAGATCAGGTGAGGAATGAGCTGAGGAAGATGAAGGTGCGGAAGGTAACGGGCCCGGATGGTATCAGTTCCAGACTTCTCAGAGACTGTGCTGATCGACTCTGCGGGGTCATTCTGCACATTTTCAACCTCAGTCTCAGTCTGGAGAGAGTCCCCACCATGTGGAAGACCTCCTGTGTGGTTCCTGTCCCCAAGACTGCATACCCCAGGGAGCCCAGTCACTTCAGGCCAGTAGCCTTGACGTCCCATCTGATGAAGTGCCTGGAGAGGATCGTACTCAATCACGTTCGACACCTTGTGAGCAGTGAGCTGGACCCTCTTCAGTTTGTGTATAGACCAGGTGTCGGCGTGGAGGACGCGATCATCTTCCTGCTCCATCGTTCCCTTTCTCACCTGGAGAACACTTGGGGCACTGT